GTCAATGACCTTGACATTTCACTCACTTAAACAAAATGCTACGTGCAACTTGTCACGGGAGGGTACAAATTGACTAGACTAACCCCCCAATAAAATAGCAAATTCGAAAACCCTATAGTTTCGGCGAACTCAGTTTGGGTGTGCCAATACGTGCAGCTATTACGCGGCTGGGTCACAGTAAGATTTTTGTTTTAAAGGCATTCTATGGAGCCCATCTGCTATACAGAAGATCTTGGAGAGGGCTGGCAGCATTCAAAAGGCCAAGCGAATGATCAGGCGTCTATCTGAGGATCGCCCCCAGACTCGCAAAAGCTTGGTCACAGCCGATCAGGGGTAGAGGCACGAAACAGGCTTCCGCTGGGCACCAATTCAGCCGACTCTAAACTCATGGCCAAGCCGATTGTGGTCATAGCCCCTTGTGATCCCGAAAGCGGGCCGACGAAAATAGTCGCGTCTCTGGACAGCGGTTTTTATTCGACCACCACTGGCTTCTTACCAACCAAAGGCAGTGAGGCCCTGGAGGAGGTATGCCCAGGAGGTACCTCACATGCAAGCAGCGCCCAAAGTATGTCGAGCTATACTTATCTCCAGGAGGTATGCCCAGGAGGTACCTCACATGCAAGCAGCGCCCAAAGTATGTCGAGCTATCAACACTTATCTCCGTAGCAGGCGACACAGGTGCAGTCATGTACTTCTCACCAAAGCCACAGCTTCCGAACTGGACTGAGTAGGATGTGCGGGGACAAGCAGCGAAGCCAATCTCCAGCTTCACTCTGTCAAAAGAGGCCTCTCTGCTTGTGGACACAACCACCGCTCAGAACCCCGACAACCAAAGCCACAAACGTGACTACAGCCATCCGAAAAATCCCTCGTACATCCAGTTGGCCACGCTGATCGCTGGCGGATCGGGTGTCCACACAAACTCGAAAGTAAAGCGACTGAAGGCAAACAAGCCACATAAAATTCGCCGGATTAGAAAACTGCTGGCTGGCTTCAACGCAAGGCCCTCCGCGAAAAACGAGCCGCATGGGAGCGCCACCAAAAGCAATACTTTCTGGTGCCGCCACTCAGCACTCAGGGCCTCACAGGGACACCTTTCCGGTCAAACCGCGCAAAATCACCCAAGCATCTCGAGTTTTCCTGAAGACGACCAATTCCTTATATGAACCCTTGAGCAACTGTCCTCCAACGACCACTTCACTCGCCTGTTGGTTGGTGACTTCAACGCTCCAAAGGCCCTCTGGATGGAGGCAAAGTGCGTGGAGTCAAGCGGACATTCTGCAGCGGCGCTGATTGAAATAGATTAACAGAGTGCTTGGACTCAAAATGTTGTTTCACCCACCAGATACCGCAATGGCCAACTACTAGCCCTACTGGACTTGGTCATCATTAACGAAAGACACTTCGTTGATCAGGTAACAATTAACGCTCCACCGGGACACAGCGACACTGTGTGCTGACCTCTGATTTTATCCCGAACCTCGGACGTGGTTTCGAGACTTCTGCCATGCAGACCTCTCAGGAATGCGCATCTTGCTCGAACAAGTCACACTGGAACCAGCTTCAGTGGAAGAACTATGTAGGGCCAATGTCCAGAAAGTTCACGAGGCTGACGGGATGTTCCTCCCAAAAAATACCAGCACGCACTCGAATGAACCGCACGCTGCAAAAAAGGGTTCGGCGACTTCTGGAAAAGTGGTCACAACTCTTTTTCCAAAGGTTGACTACAGGGTATACAGAAGATGAGCTGGCATTTCGTAAAATGCGGAACCGCTGTGAATCAGAAATCCGCCAACGGAACTTACGAAAACAAGCCGCCATCATAGACCTCACTCAAAAAAACGAAAACGCATTGTTCAACTACATGAGACATTACCGCAGAAACAAGCTATCCGTGTTTTCTTTGAGGGAGAGAAAGGGATAACCGACGGGTGACCCAACAGTGGTATCTGAGGTTTGCAGAGAACACTATGCGTGTCTATACTCGGCCCCAGCGTCCTTGTCACGTCCACTCTTGTCAAGGCGTAACTACGAACAGCATCTAACCGACTTGTCATCACGGTTGAAGACATTCGTCAACTCTTGCACAAGATCAACCCATCCTGCGCGTTAGGGTTCGACGAGGCCCATCCAAGGATCGTGAAGGAAACGTCGTCCACACTGGGAAATCATTTACACACGCTGTTTCGTCAGTCGCTTGACGCAGGCCGCCTTCCCTCCGCTTGGAAGGAAGCGATTGTCACGCCAATCTACAAAACTG